GGTCAGCAGGATACTTGGCCAGTGCCAAAGCATGCACTGTGTCCCTCTTGTGTCCCTCCCGTGCCCCCAAGGGACAAAGTGGCCACCTGTATCAGGCCACCCTGTGGTCCCGTCACCTCCCCAGCAGCAATCGCAGCCCGTGAGAATGTGAGGTCACTTGTGAAGGCAAAGCTCACAGCCCCAGATTTGAGACAGCAAAGCCTGGAAGCAAGGGAGGAAATAGGGCGGAGCCACCCCATCACAGCCTCCTCAGGGACAAGGGGGGGCCGACACAAAGGGAGTAAACAGAAGCGTCTTGTTACCCTGGAACAAAAGGCCAGACAGATAAAGGAAAGGGGCACAAGGCAGATAAGGAAATAAATACACACAGCAGCAGACAAAGAAAGTGCCAGGCGGATCCGGAAATATACACAATAGCAGATGAGGCCACAACAGAGGCCAGCTACAGCCACTCTGGGGAACAGCCCCTCCCATGGGCCTGCTTTGGGCTTCTGCTAGGATTTCTGCCCTCTAGGCTGAAAACAATGAAAGGGAGTCTTATATTGTATTTCTATATCCTGCCAATAGTTTCACTGCATATATTGCGTAAATTTTTGTGTGATTTTCATTGTGAATTAAACTTAAAAAAATAACTGGCCCACAAATTGAACCAATGATCTCAATACGAGATCTTTGTATAAGATTCAGCTGGGTGCTGTGGTGGGTGCCTATAGTCCCAGCTACTGGGGAGGCTGAGGCAGAATTGTTTGAGCCCACGAGTTCAAGGCCAGCCTGAGCAACAGTTGGAGACCAAGGCTCAATAAACAAAACAACAAGAGTGATAATGCACTTAAAATGCTTACGAAGGTAAATTTTACTTTATGCAGATTTTACCATGAGTTTACTTTAAACGAAAAAATGCCAATGAATTTTCCGGGTTCAGGTAGAAGTAGGAAGGCAAGGAAAACTCGAATTTTCTCCATTCTCTCAGAAGTGTAAAAGCGGGAGAGGAACGAAGGCCCCTCTCTCCTAACGTTCACAAAACCAGGAAGCAGAGCCCACCGCAAACTCCAAATAACGGGCTGGGGGAGCAGAGGAAGCCACCAGGAGTGGCCAGCCATCGAGTTCCCCCAGCGGATTTCAGGG